TAGTGATACTAATTAATCCATAGTTGGGTGGAAGAAGATATCACTAATTAACCCATAGTTGGGGGAGAAGATATGAATTCCTACCTTTCCACAGGGTATTTGCGCATAAGTGAATATAACAGACCCAACAGGAATTCGAATTCGGCTCTCCGATTAACGATTTCGAGCCATTATGCATTACACCACCCGCACACCCAAGCTTACAGCATCTGATATTCCCAAGTGGTCACTCATTTAGATATTGATCAGGCTCAAAGTTCTTTAACTTTGATCGTACAGGAACTGAGGTTTCAACGTGATGTGGCTTGAAACCCCTAAGATCAATAGAAATTTGATAAAAATTGTATATGAATACAAAAGATATCTTTTAGAAAACACATAAAAAAACACATTCAGAGCACCAGTTGTGCATTTCTAAACATCTTATAATTCCAACTGAAAGGAACTCAAAGTAAAAGAATTTCATTTACTTAAACAAAAATGTATTGAAAGTGCCTTAATGTCGGATGCTTATACGGTAAATTTGAGTTCATTTCACATTTCATCTTTCTTAAGAAATCTCCTTTGGAATATTTTCAAACGACAACTACAAAAAAAAAAATATAAAAATAAATAAATAAATAAAAACAAAAAAAGAAAAGCTCAGTTTTGAGAAGCTGAATGAAGTGTCGTCCAAGTTATACGTCTAAGACGCAAGAGGCTAATGCGAGTGAAAGAGAAGGAAAAGACTTTAGAAGGAACCGGAAACCGAATCCTAAACAGGAAACAAGCGATAAACCTCTACTCCTATTCAAAAAACCTATCTACTCGTACTGAAGGAAGAAAATAAATAAATAACATTTCAGAGTTTAGGCGGAGACGTTAGAAGTATAGAGTTGAAGTAGACTTTAGAAGGAACCGGAAACCCAATCCTAAACAGGAAACAAGGGATAAACCTCTACTCCTATTCAAAAAACCTATCTACTCCTACTGGAGAAAGAAAATAAATAAATAACATTACAGAGTTTAGGTGGAGACGTTAGAAGTATAGAGTTGAAGTAGACTTTAGAAGGAACCGGAAATCCAATCCTAAACAGGAAACAAGGGATAAACCACTACTCCTTTTCAAAAAACCTATCTACTCCTACTGAAGGATGAAAATAAATAAATAACATTTCAGAGTTTAGGCGGAGACGTTAGAAGTATAGAGTTGACGTAGACTTTAGAAGGAACCGGAAACCCAATCCTAAACAGGAAACAAGGGATAAACCTCTACTCCTTTTCAAAAAACCTATCTACTCCTACTGAAGGATGAAAATAAATAAATAACATTTCAGAGTTTAGGCGGAGACGTTAGAAATATAGAGTTGAAGTAGACTTTAGAAGGAACCGGAAACCCAATCCTAAACAGGAAACAAGGGATAAACCTCTACTCCTTTTCAAAAAACCTATCTACTCCTACTGAAGGATGAAAATAAATAAATAACATTTCAGAGTTTAGGCGGAGACGTTAGAAGTATAGAGTTGAAGTGGACTTTAGAAGGAACCGGAAACCGAATCCTAACAGGAAACAAGGGATAAACCTCTACTCCTATTCAAAAAACCTATCTACTCCTACTGGAGAAAGAAAATAAATAAATAACATTACAGAGTTTAGGTGGAGACGTTAGAAGTATAGAGTTGTAGTAGACTTTAGAAGGAACCGGAAACCCAATCCTAAACAGGAAACAAGGGATAAACCACTACTCCTTTTCAAAAAACCTATCTACTCTTACTGAAGGATGAAAATAAATAAATAACATTTCAGAGTTTAGGCGGAGACGTTAGAAGTATAGAGTTGAAGTAGACTTTAGAAGGAACCGGAAACCCAATCCTAAACAGGAAACAAGGGATAAACCTCTACTCCTTTTCAAAAAACCTATCTACTCCTACTGAAGGATGAAAATAAATAAATAACATTTCAGAGTTTAGGCGGAGACGTTAGAAGTATAGAGTTGAAGTAGACTTTAGAAGGAACCGGAAACCGAATCCTAAACAGGAAACAAGGGATAAACCTCTACTCCTTTTCAAAAAACCTATCTACTCCTACTGAAGGATGAAAATAAATAAATAACATTTCAGAGTTTAGGCGGAGACGTTAGAAAATATAGAGTTAAAAGTAGACTTTAGAAGGAACCGGAAACCGAATCCTAAACAGGAAACAAGGGATAAACCTCTACTCCTTTTCAAAAAACCTATCTACTCCTACTGAAGGATGAAAATAAATAAATAACATTTCAGAGTTTAGGTGGAGACGTTAGAATTATAGAGTTGAAGTAGACTTTAGAAGGAACCGGAAACCCAATCCTAAACAGGAAACAAAGGATAAACCTCTGCTCCTATTCAAAAAACCTATCTACTCCTACTGAAGGAAGAAAATAAATAAATAACATTTCAGAATTTAGGCCGAGACGTTAGAATTATAGAGTTGAAGTAGACTTTAGAAGGAACCGGAAACCCAATCCTAAACAGGAAAAAAGGGATAAACTTCTGATCCTATTCAAAAAACCTATCTACTCCTACTGAAGGAAGAAAATAAATAAATAACATTCCAGAGTTTAGGTGGAGGCATTAGAAGTATAGAGTTGAAGTAGACTTTAGGAAACAAGGGATAAACCTGTACTCCTGGTCAAAAAACCGGGAAGGAATGTTAACAGGGCGATAATTGAACCTATCTATTACTTTTACATTTCGTCATTCATTTCATAAACAAACAAACAAAAAACTTTAATCTTTAAAATCTTTGAAAGATTCTGTCTATATCTTTGAGATGAGGTATCATGATTATTTGCATTATTTAAATTATTCGGACTATTATCCTCATCTTCATTGCTATATTCACAAATAAGGACGTTAGTTAGATCCAGTGAAGGACCCAAAATGTTGTTCAGTACCAGGCCACAGCAGTGGTGAACCAAAATTTTGAAAGTTGAGTTAAAGAGAGGTAACTGAGACATCCGGAAGAGGCATGGTACGCGGAACTAGAACAATCTACCTAGGTGAATAAAATAAATGGTTCGGTTTGAAATTGCAATCCCTTGAAGAGGGCCGGAGCATAAAACGTTGTGAATATGGCAATGACGATGAGGATAACAGTCCGAATATGGTAAATAACACTTTGAAAGTTTATTTCACAAAAATGTCTAAGTTCTTCGGAAGTGGCTGAAATTGACTGCGCAGTTATTTAGTAAGGAATTAATCGATATATATTTATGAAGTTTCCATTTATTACCAATGAATTTGTAACGAACAGACTTGATTAGGTTTGCCTCTCGTTGTCTTCTCGCCAAATAACAAGACAATGAATGACTTGCTTCATCGGAAGAGCATAATAATCGCGACTTGTCAATCAGACGAAGGCGGACAGAGTCAAACCGTGATGGAAAAAATGATAGTTATCGTCCGCCGTACGTACTCATAAACATCGCCGGCCACAGACACAGAGGCGCGTCCAAATGTAAAACTGACCACATATTACAGCCAGCTGCAACATTAAGCGATCAAGCTGTGCCTTATTTTATTGTCATAAACTGACATTCCGTGTTACTGACGTCTACAGCGGGACTTCGGCCCCTGCCATCATGTCACCACAAAAATGTTGAATCAAAAAGGGACTCCCCTGTCCGTCGTCCCAAACAGATATCACTTACTCTATCATTAGAACATTTCATTAGAATGACACGCATTCTTCACTTCAATACTCTATCCCGTCCCGTTTCAACCATCCATTGGATATTAAACAATACACGCAAATCATTCATGCTTAAACAGAAACATCGATTGTTGTCATTTTATAGGTATTTATTAAGTGTGGTCTAGTATGACACAAGGTAAAATAAAAGAGCATTCTGTGACAGTAGGAATATTGTACTGGATTTGAATAACATTTTGAAGCGTTTTTTTTTTTTTTTTTTTTAAATAGGTGGCATCTGATTTTGTTCCACGCATCTTCTTATCGAATCGCTGAAACCATACTCACCCAGTGTTGCACCCAGAGCCTTTCCTGGGGTGTTAAGATTTCAAGGTCGTTAAGCGTGAATGAATCCTCGAGATTTGGGACAAACTTGAAGACGCTCCATAGCTTGTGATTGCCTGGCAGCTGGAATTAACATCGGTTCCGTACTTCCATTTTTAATGGTTAGATATACAGCGGCCGACAGCTGTTCGGGGGCAATTCACGCAGTTCTAGAATATCCAGGCATCACTGGAGCTAGGTGGACAGGTATTCTGGAGGGCTGAGACGGAGCCTGTGTTTCATGTTGTCAAGGTGACTGCACCACAGGGATAGACGCTGACTAGGGAATCTTTTGTTCAGTGGTTCGACTGAATGTAGAAAGGTGTATCTTGACCTGAAAATCATTGTCATTGGTTTCACGTGTGACAGAAATTCATGACATATATATATATATATATATATATATATATATATATATATATATATATATATATTCTAAGAGATGACATTTGAATTCGTTCTTTCGACTCGTCTATTCATACGGTTTGTTTGTCGAATGTGAATTTTAAATGTTTTTATATTAAAGTGATAACGGACGAAAATAAGAAGCATATTTCACCATTTAATATTCTTTTATTATTATTTGATAAGAAAAACCCTGGACAAACAAAAGAAATTGTGTGCCGTTTACAGAGATGGTGCTATATCTGAAAGCAGTAACTTTTTAATAAAAACAGGGCAAAACTTTGAACAAAGCTTTTGAAAATATTATTTGATGATATAAATGTTAAATTTCTATCAAACAATGACTTTTTCTTCATTCCTTTTTGATAGTTAATATTGTTACGTTTTTAGGGCTAAAAATGAAGACACGAGAGAGGAATTGACTTAAATATATTAACAAAAAATGTAATATACAAACGAGAGTGTTACAGCAAGAATGTTCGGTCCGACTGTCAGAGTTGACTGCTGGAAACTTTTCTCTCCAAAAGGCAGTACCTGCTCCTATTTATAACTGGGAGAGTTCATGCGTGCTTGGGTAAATTACCATAACATCTATCTATCTATCTATCTATCTATCTATCTATCTCAGTCTGTTCATATCTATCGCAGTAAGTTCATTATGTATGTATGTATGTATGTAGGTATATCTCTGTGTGTGTATATATATATATATATATATATATATCAGTCTGTTTATATCTATCTATCTATCTATCTATCTATCTATCTATCTATCTATCTATCTATCTCGGTCTGTCTACATCTATTGTTGTGGCCTTGTTAGAGCCAGAAATAAAGACACAAAAGAGGAATTGGGTTAAAAAAATGTAATATACAAACGAGAGTGTTACAGCAAGAATGTTCGGTCTGACTGTCAGAGATGACTGCTGGAAACTTTTCTCCCCAAAAGGCAGTACATGCTCCTATTTATAATTGGGAGAGTTCATGCGTGCTTGGGTAAATTACCATAACATCTATCTATCTATCTATCTATCTATCTATCTATCTATCTATCTATCTATCTATCTATCTCAGTCTGTTCATATCTATCTATCTATCTACGTCAGTCTGTTCGTATCTATCTATCTATCTATCTATCTATCTATCTATCTATCTATCTATCTATCTATCTCAGTCTGTTCATATCTATCTATCTATCTATCTATCTATCTATCTCAGTCTGTTCATATCTATCTCAGTAAGTTCATTATGTATGTATGTATGTCTCTCTCTCTCTCTCTCTCTCTCTCTGTTTATATCTATCTATCTATCTATCTCGGTCTGTCTATATCTATTGTTGTGGCCTTGATAAAGACAGAAAAGAGGAATTGAGTTAAACAAATATATTAACAGAAAGTAATGTGCAAACGAGAGTGTTACAGCAAAGAAGGTTCGGTCTGACTGTCAGAGCTGACTGCTGGGAACTTCCCCCCCTAAAAGGCAGTACCTACTCCTATTTATAGTTGGGAGAGTCCATGTATGCGTGGGTAAATTACCATAACAATTAAGGTATTCAAATTATGCGGATTTTTTTTTAATTATCCGAGCATATATTTTCATTCCCAGTTCACAGGTATCCGGATAATCGACGATGTGTTCTAATAAGTTTTTTTCTAACTTGCCATTCATTTTTTCCAGGGAAACAGTTGCTATTTTTTGTATCAGTTCCAAGATTCATTATTGATAGCCACAATCTGAACAACATTAAGTAGCCAAATGACACAGTGTTGATAGCAGACACAGAAAGAAATCTACAGGAATTCCTACAGAAGATACCAAAGGAAAGGAAGAAGAAAAGACTAGCCCCCAATTATGAGAAGACATATTGCATGATTGTCAGAAAAAAGACAAACCCAAGATGCGAACGCCGAATAAAAAAAAAATAAAACAGGTTCAAAAATTTAAATATCTAGGAAGTGTTTAAATAGAAGACGGAAAATTCACACGCATTCGAACACGCATTTCAATAGCGAAAGATGTCTCCCAAAAGCTAAGTGAAGTATCAAGTAACAGAAAAAATGCCTTAGAAAGAAAAAACGTTTAGGACTGGAAAGAATAAAACCCAAAGCATGAAATAACTGTTCAACAACTTTTATTTCTGGTTGAGAGTGCAAAACAATAGTATTTTGAGGGTAAAAGTGAGGTTTCCCAGTTAACAAAGTTTCCGAGTAGTTTTCGTTGCGAAAGATTTCTCTGCTAGTTCTCATAGAAGGAACGAGAAATCTAACTTTGAAACTTCTAGGACAGGCCTCGTCTTCTGCAGCAAGAATTATGTGTAATTTTCCATTGTTAGGTGTCTCGAAGGGAGATTTCTCCGCCCCGTTTCTCACGGGGGCGGCGAGAAAACTGAGTCAAGCTGCCAGGGCAGGCCTCATCTTTTGCATCAAGGGTTGTTAGTAGCCATTCGACCTAAGTTTAAATGTTGCGACCGCTGTAAATGGAAAGTGGAAAAGAGTGGGCCTTGAATGTAGAGCCCACTGAAAAGAATAGGGCTTTTATAATCTCACGGACTTCCAGTTGTACCTTGCTGATTATTTCAGCTGCTGCTGAATCGAGCAATGTAAGGAAGCCCCTACATGCCACAATAGCCAACAAGTGACATAGTTTTCTATATCCTCTTGTATCTACTTTGTTAATCTTCCGTATTGATTTTTTCTTTTTGTGATTGATTCTGTTGTTGTTATCTCTCTCCTTCCGTAGTATCTGAGAGTTTAAATTTTAGTTCAAATTACATGTTTGAATCAATCATTATTTTTTTTACAATTAATATCAATATTTAATAGCAATCATGTTTTTTCTTTTTATACTCTGTTACTACTGAGAAGGGAGGTGGCTATTATTCTATGACCCCAAGGATAGATTACTGCTTCCTACGTCAACCCCAAAGTACCCAAATCAAATATACCAGGCATCTCGACTTTCTCACCCATGTGGCGTGACTTTCGTCTGTCTTTGTTACGGGACCTTACCCATAATAACATAATGGACTATTCCATACGTAATAAATGCTGCGCCTCAAGAGGAATCTCAGACTGAAGTCAGTCTGAAGTCAGTCTGGAGTCTGGAGTGAAGTCCGTCAGGAGTCAGTCAGTCGAGTCAGAGGCAGTCCGAAACAGAATCGTGTTCAGACAATTACTACTAAACCTGATTGTTCGTACTAACACTTTTCTACTTCTCTGTATATATTCCTGTTTGTAATATATCTGTGTTATTCCATGTCCGCTTTCGAGTTCTTCTTCATTGGTTCTACCTTGGACTATCATTGTGGTACAAGGAACCGGGCCATAACAGTCTTTTATACAAATATTTTCATGGCAACTGCTCTGACGAGCTTTTTCTTCCCTGGTGTCCAAACTTGATGAATTTAAGAGGTAAAAAAGCGTTAAATTCAGAAAGAATGGGGTTAGCTTTTCCTTGTTCTGTCAGTCTAAATTTAGTATCTCATTGACTAGAGATCCTTGAGGACATTCAGGTGATTGGAATGTCGAACTGAACCCTTTATTTCGCTCACTGGGGTAGACTGTTCTAGTTCCACATGCAATATCTAATGGATGTCAGTTATCTCCTGTTAATTCCCCTCTTTAAGTTCTCCATCGCCTTAACCAGGTATTGAACTCACTCTTCGGGTAATGTCACTGGATCTAACTAACGTCTTTATCCACAATTATATGTGTCCTTGAGGACATCTGTGTGTGAATTTCTGGGTATTATAAAACTAATGTCTTTAGCAACCATTTTTACCAGTGCTCATATTGCAATTTTTTGCTGTTATCATTTCATGTTTTTACCAGAGCTCATATTGCGACTTTTGTTATTATCGCTTTTCTTTGGTACTCCTTATTATTGGTTCCCATATTGTATTCATTTCTATGCTTGGTCGGCTCAGGAGATTTTTGTGGCCCAGCATATGTGCTGATTCCTTAAGTTTATCTTACTACGGCATCCCATAGACGTCGCAATGAGAAGACAGCCTCCTAACCGATGTTTTATTTTATCATACAGTGCCCAGTAAAAAGCGGTAAATTCGGAAAGACGTGAGACAACCATTGAACATTTGTGACGACTGATATGAGTGAAAAATTCAGGAAGAATTTCGACACATTTCGTCGGATGTTCTTTTTTGAAAAGTACGATAACTTGACACTCAAAATTGGTGGGTTTTTTAGCCATAGAAGAAGGGGAGAACGAAAGACGAAAGTTGTCTGTAAATAACGTTTAAATAACGAGTCATAAAATCGAGCAGCAATTAATCAATCATAAAAGAACCAATCAGAGTTAAGTAATTACACGAGAGGCGAATGATTATTTATTCAAGGCTATTCAAGTTCAATTAATCTTGAAATATAAAACAGGGATAATAAATTTGCCGCTTTTTTAACTGGGCATCTTGTAGATTGGAACTAGGTCCCACCCGTTTACTGTTGAAATAGCTAAATGCAACCGCCACTTCTATTCCAACACTTTCTTTTCTCGCACTTCCAACCTGTGGAACTCCTTTCTGTTTCCTTGCTTCCCTGATAATTACAATCTTCAAAAATATAAATGCAACGCAATGGCCATTTTCTATCTTCTTGAATCCCATTCATCTTTTGACCTTTCCTCAATACTCCTCATAATAAGTATTTTCTTTCACTTTCACTCTATGTAACCCCCTTGCGTACTAGTGGTATTCCTGCTTTTCTTGGGGGTGAAATGTCCTCTAGACGCCCCATTAGAATATAGGGCCACAGCTTCACCACTCTAGGTGTGGCTATTGGAGGTTTTCTGGTAAGTAGGTTTTTACTGGGTGGATTTGCTAGTCCCACGCCAAACCAATTTTTAATTCAGAATTGACTTAGAATGATTGCCAAACAAGTTTAAAGGGCCTGATTATTAATTCCTGGCTGAGGCCTAGGCAAGATCTAAATTTATATCCTTCCAAGGGTATTTATTTGAAAGTGAACGCAACTGACTCGGTTGAGATTCGCGTATGACAACTATTACAATACAATCAAATATTATTTTATTTTATATCTGAAGGAAAATTTAAACTAAACACTCCTAATGCCACCTAATAATAATAATAATAAAGAACCGATTTCATTTAAAAAAAAAACGGTATCACCTCATTCAAGGCAGTACATCTACGAGCAGACAAAGAGTTACAGTGTGTGGAGGAATTAGGAACAGAAAGATTAATAATGAGTGGGAAGAGGAAAGAGTAATCAGGAAGACGGTAGACAGCGATTGACATTGCATTTAAATTTTTTGCAGATTAAAGTGGGCTGGAAAGCATGGAGCTAGAAGGGAGTTCCACAAGCGAGAAGTGCGAGAAAAGATAATGTTATCCTAAAATTTGCGGCTGCATCTAGCCAGCCCAACTGTAAATTGATGGGATCTTGACGTCAGTCAAGTACTGCGTTTAAATTCATAAAGTCTAGGTAACATAGCGAAGACTTCATTCGAAAAACTACCATGAAAGTATTTATTGAAAAGACACAGAGAGGCAACCTTACGTCTGTTGGAAAGTGACTGGAGCTGAGCTGCCAGATCAAGACCAGTAATATTGAAGATTCTTCTTTGGATTTTATCAAGGAACGCAAGGTAATTAGCAGGTGCACCGGACCATATGTGGAAGCAATATTCTAAGCATGGACGAATGGTAAACATATAGTTTGATTTGGTTGGTTTGGTTTATTTTACAGCATATCAACACCTCAATGGGTTATTTCATGCCGACAAATTTTTTATTGCTGGTAATATTTTCTTTCAAAATAAATTATAGTTGGTAATATTTTATTTCTAAAAATGTATTGCTGGTAATAATTTTTTTTACAAAGTATTTCTGGTATGTATTAAAGCCTATTTTTAAATTTTCATAGTGTTTTGACCCAAGTTTGGGTGTCAACCATTTGCCCAATAGCTGAGATCCTAACAGGTGCTGCCCCCCACCCCCGGATCAGGGTGGACCTGGGAACATCAGCAATTAAGAGGTGGTTCCACACTCCTCAAAACCTCCTGATCAGAAGCCTTGCTGTTGGATGTAGTTTATCGTCATACCCAGGATGGGGTGGACTTATGGATATGCAACATAGATTTTTGAGAGAAAAATAATAAAATAAAAAAAGGCTCTGTTTTTTACAACGTGTTTGTATTTTTATATTTATTAGATGAGAATTATCATAATACGGGAAGCAGTGGAGAGCTATGACCGCCCACGTACTGCTGGAGTACATCACAGAAAGAGAGAAAAAGATTTAAGCGTTGTATTTCTTCATTTTTGAATTTCCGTTTGGTGATCATATTTAAATTGACGTCCTTTTACTATTTTATTTTCTTCCGTCCTTTCTCCCATCTCAGTGTTTTGCCCTCTTTCCATTTTGTGCTGCCGCCATGATGTTTGTGTTAGCAAATTCTTTTAATTATCAATTACCTATTTGAAATGTCCCCTTGATCTGCCGCTGACGCCTGAAATACGCGACTAATTGTACGTTAGAGACGACGTTCATGTACTTTGTTGCTAGACACAAGAGCATCATCGCTTATTGCCTCTTTTATTGGGCGAAACTTGTCCATCCGTTCCAATAAAATCAGCCATGTTGTCCCGCCTCGTTTTGGAAAGTTTTCCACTTTTTCCCGCTGTTTCTTTCTTTCATTTTCCAAACACCACCATGTTGAAGAGATGACGGCACACCACTTCCTTTTCGCTATATGCACTTCCGTTCTCTGTCGACTGGTACAAAATGTCTGATTTTCCTGTCGGGGAATTGTTTTGTCAAATTCAAGTGAACAAGTTCACAATTGATACTGAATGCAGAACCATTAAACATTATGTTCTGACGAAATAGATCGTAGGTATTTTGTTTACGGCTTGATTTTTTTGTGGGCTGGTGGGGAGATATTTAAGATCTGTTTGTTTTTCGATAAAGGCGTTTATCTTTGTCAAAAAAGGTTTTTCAAATTATGCAAAGGTATAATTACGTACTGGATTTTTTGCATTCGATAAAACTTCAAAGCGACTTCTATTGCAATAAACTTTGTGGTTAGTCGACCTGCTTATTTGATTATAATCTGCAGGAGGAATGAAAAAGGTCGAAGGGTGTAAAGCAAAAATATTTGAACGAGATCTTAAAACTTCTAATTTACGTGCCAAATTCCTGGCATTTCTATTATCATTAATATTTTGCTGCCTTTTATCAAAGACTATTTGCCTGAAACATTTTTCATTCCTTGAATAAGAATGTAGAAGTTTGGAACAAAGAGAAACAATACACGACTGATAGATTGCCAAATAAAAAAAAAAATGGCCGTTTAAGAAAGAAGACGTGAAATTAGAATTTGCTTAACGGCATATCAACATCCTTATGGGTCTTTTAATGATGAAATTTAATTTTCTTGGGAAAATTTGATATTTTCTACTATTAAAATCTATTGCAAGAAATTTTTTCTATTAAAATCTATTGCTAAAATTGTTTTTCTATTAAAATCTATTGCTAGATTTTTTACTATTAATATCTATTGCTAGAATGTTTTCTATTATAATCTATTGCTAGAATTCTTTTCTATTAAAATCTATTGCTGGAATTTTTTCTATTAGAATATATTGCAAGATTTTTTCTATTAAAATCTATTGCTAGAATTGTTTTTCTATTAAAATATATTGCAAGATTTTTTTCTATTAAAATCTATTGCTTAATATATTAAATCTGTTGCTATTTTTTTTTTAATAAAATCCATTAATAGAATTTTCTCTATTAAAATCTATTACTGGAATTTTTTCTATTAAAATCTACTGCTAGAATTCTTTTCTATTAAATCTCTAGCTGGGAATTTTTACTATAAGAATGTGTTTTTATACTTTCATAGTGTGTTGACCTCAGTTCCGGAGTTCACTATTTGCCCATGGTTGGGAACTTATCACACGCTACCACAGGGTGGACCCGGGAAGATAATCAATTAATAGGTGTGGTTCATTCCTGGGTATGACAATAAACTACATCCGGCAAGAAGGCCGCTGGTCGGGAGCTTTTGAGGAGCGTGGAAC